AGGTTTTGGGAAGAGACTCCGAGATTTGTACGTTCATTATTTTTATTGTAGATTTTTTTCTTACTTGCCTTGTGGTTTTTATGTGTTGTAGAGGCTTTCCACATAAATCTTGATATCCTATTTGATTGTAATTTTTATTTAATTTCATTGCGTATTACGACCTGTTAGTATTTATTCATATACAAAGTTCTTTTTTATTCCATCAATTGGTATTTAATTTTTTTGTGTTCGAACATAGAGGTTGGTAATATTTCTTGTATGATTAGCTTGAATAGAAATAATTGGATGATATGAAAAATAAGAATGGAAGATCTCTTGTATTGCAATGATTTATATGGACCTTTGCAAGGGGATAGTATAAAGCCCGTAACTATGACAGATGATCAATGAAAGAGGTTAAATCAGAAAATGGTTGGACTTATTCGACAGTAGCTCGATGACAGTGTCTTTCACTATATTACTACTAAAAGTTCTTCACACTTTCTTTGGAAAAAAATTAAAAGATCTCTATGAGAGAAAAACGACTAACAACAAGACTTTTTTGATAAGAAAACTTATGAATCTGAAATATAAAGAGGGTGCTTTTATTGCTGAGCATATGAAAATATCTCTTGATGATCAGTTGTAGACATTGTTACTTCTCAATTTATTATCAAAAAGTTGAGAGACACTAGTGGTTTCACTCAGTAATTCTGTGCCAAATGATGTTGTCACTATGAGTCAAGTAACAAACAGTTTATTAAATAAGGAGTTGAGGAGAAAAAATTCAATAACATCTCATATTGATTCATAGGCACTTATCTCAAAGAATATAGGAAGGTCAAAATCCAAAGATAAAAACGGTTCACACATAGGTAGAAGCAAGTCAAGATCAAGAAAAGATATTATTTGCTATAATTATGGTGAGAAATGATATTACAAGAATCAATACAAGCAACCTAAGAAAAATAAGAAAAAAAATATAGTGGAGCCTACATAGTCAAAAGATATTACCACAACTATAGTGCAAGATATTGACTATTTGATTTTGTCTACTTCTGATGACATTTTTTCTTGTGTGTGTCAGGATCTCGAGTGGATGATTGACACATGTGTTTCTTATAATGCTACACCACGGAGGGAGTTCTTTGCTACCTACAAGTCCGGAAATTTTGGTATTATCAAGATGGACGATTATAGCATGACAAACATCATCGACATGGGTGATATCCACATAAAGACTAACCTTGATTACAAGTTTGTGCTTAAGGATGTGAGGCATGTGGTTGACTTAAGGTTGAATTTAATTTCAGTTGGAAGACTAGATGACAAAGACTTTAATAATAGATCTCATAGAGGGCAATGGAAGCTTAGCAATGCAAAAGGTTCCTTATGCTTCAGCAATCGAAAGTTTAATATACGTGATGGTATGTATGAGGTCAGACATCACATATGCAATGAGTGTTATTAGCAGATTTCTTACAAATCCAGGCAAAGAGCACTGGACAGTAGTAAAGTAGATATTTAGATATCTCAAACGGAACTCCAAAATTTATTTAAGCTTTGGAAATGGACCACCTATGTTGATATGTTACATAGATGCAGATATGACAATAGATATTGACATGAGGAAGTCTATATCATGTTTTGTACTAACTTTTGTAGGGAGAGCTATATCACGACAATCTAGATTACAAAGGTGTATTGCTCTCTCCATCATAGAGGCAAAATATATTACTACTATAAAGGTTTACAAAGAAATGTTATAGATGAAAGAATTCTTATAAGAATTATGATTAAAATAGAAAAACTATATAGTGCATTGTAATAGTCATAGCGTCATCCATTTATATAAGAACCCGACCTTTCATTCTAAGTCAAAACATATAAATATTATATACTATTAGATTTGAAATTTAGTTGAACAGAAGCAATTGCAACTTCAGAAAATTTACACAAATGATAACGGAGCATACATATTGACAAATATCTTACCAAAAGAAAGACAAGAAATGTGTCAACAACCAGTTAACATAGCTTCACATTGAAAAGTCATGGGATAGCCTCTCTTATAGGCTGAAGGGAGAGATTGTTAGGCAGATAGCCCATTATTCAACCCATAGTGAGTTTTAATAACCCATAACTCATAACCATTGAAATATTTTTCTCTTTTAACCTAGACCCTAACTCTTTCAACCAAGAGGCTTTTGACGACTAGGGCTAAAAAAAGGGCAACGATAACTATAAACATGATTGAGAAAAAGGGAAAAGCAACTATGGCAGTTGAGGGCAGAAGGACAAGATAATAAAAAAATAAAAAAAGACAAAGATAACACAAAGACTGTTCTCAATCATCCAAGCAGTTGTTCTCACCTCATGTTATATTATATTTACAATGGATTCTTGTTGTGATCACTTGATGAGATTTTAGATATTATACATAGTGACGTAATCCTTATATCCATATTATTCTCTTATGATTGTTACTTAGGTTTTGATAAGTGACTTCGAGATTTGTATGTTCATTATTTTTATAGTGGGTTTTCTTTGGCTTGTCATATGGTTTTTATCCTTCACGTTGGAGGGGTTTTCCATAAAAATCTTAGTGCCCTATTTAATTATGATTTTTATTTAATTACGTTACGTGTTATGATCCGCTAGTATTTGTTCATATATAAATTTTATTTTTATCACATCACTTCATAGGTCTAAACAAGACGAGTATAACACCTAAAGAACTTGAAATCACCGTCAGCAACCATAACACAATGGCCTATCTTAAACACGAGAGGTGTGCCACCAATTGGTGGTTGAAGAGAAGACTTGCTAGTAAACTTGACTATAGGTCAACAGATGAATTCACCTTCAAACAATCTATTAGATCTTTATATTCCTAAGACAATACCATGGTAAAAGGAGGCCTAGGAGGATAACAATAAACCCATGCATATCATAATCCTCACTCAGAATAATTTATGAAAAAAATTAACATGACAAAGATATAAAAATTTTAGTCATTAACTTGACATGATAAAATTAATCAAATTTAATTATTTTTCATTAAATCTGAATGAAAAGGAGTGCTTCGTGAGAGGATATAAAGTAGGAGTCTAAGACAAGTGAGATTTTCTCTTGAGAGCACAAAATATCTTATATCCCACTTTGAGCTTGAATATAGTCTAATGTGTTTAGAGTGATGACATACCTAGTGAGATTACCCTATAAAATATTCTTTTTATAACCATTGATTTAATGCCAATATATTTTCATTAGTTACTATATTATTGTAGCATGTCTAGTAGTTTTGTATGACATGTTGAATTCCTCATGTGGCATCTTAATTTATCAAAAATATTAGTCATATCATTTCAAAGCACAATCTCTATTTCAAATTTTAATCTATGTTGCTTGTGTTAAAAAAATTCTAAATAAAAGAGGAACAATTTGGTTGCATAGGATGCATAAGATAGTTTTTTGTTCCATGAGAATACATTATATGTAAAAGATCTTTGGGCACATCACAAAGCCACACAATGGTTACACAGTGCTTTATATGTCACATATTTTTTTTGTCTAAAATGAAAATATCTTGATTATGTCTAATGATTCATATGTTTTTTTTTTTATCTTGAATTCATGCATCTTACAAAAATTAGTTATTTTTCTTGTGTCAAATGCATCAAAAGTCTTTTACACACCTAACTGGATGCATCATGCAAATGGACATTGTGAGCCGGGCCTAATTGGTGGGGCAAGAGGGTCACCCCATGATGGATCCCTTGTTCTTGACCTAGACATCCATCTTCCCCAACCTAGAAAGTTTAGTCCAAGTGATGAGTGAAGTCAATGGTTAAGTTGGGTCCCTTGGTCTTAACCTATGATGTCCTTTGCTCCCAACTAAGCGTGCATCTTGCAAGTCAAAAGTGTTGCCATCTAATACGATTGCATCTCCAAGGCAGCAGCCACATGCTTCAACACCGTCAGAGAGTTCATGTTGTGTGGAATTGGGCAGATCCGTCCCTATTCCCGTAACCGCACGTTTACTGGCACGCATTGCCATCCACCGACACGGCACGTTCGAATCATGTGCTTCCTTCTCGTTGATGAAGCACAATTCTTCTGTGTCCCTTCTCCGGTCGGCAATCCCCCCCTACGTGCGGTGCATGAGCTGCGCACCGGCCCAAGCTTCGTGTGCGCCGCCTCCTACGGCACGAATGGCGATGCGTCAACCCCGCGCCGATCACCTCCTGCTTTTTCTTTCCCGAGTAACTTGTGACCTAAACAAAACTCCCTATATTTCTATATATATATATATATAGAGAGAGAGAGAGAGAGAGAGAGAGAGAGAGAGAGAGAGAGAGACAGTAAAAACCATGCACTAGCCCTCTGTTTTCACGCTTAATTAAGATCAAGTCAACGTTGCGTTTCCCAACGCACGGTGACAGGTGGCCTAATTACCAAGGGGTCAAAGTCAACCATTTTGGGGCATTAGTTTCGGACTCCTCTTCCCCCTTTTTCTTTTCCCTATTCCAAAATATCATATTTATACATTTTTATGGATACCAAAACACTATATTATATATGATTTTATAGTTAAAGGTGCATCCTTGAAATCAGCACTAGTCAAAAGCTTCACTATGATTACTAGTGATTTATAAATACACAAAAAGAACTTGAACGACATATATTAATATCCTACCTATTTACTTTTTTAAATAATTTTATATGGATGAATATTTTTTTTTTTTTGATACATCTACCTTAATATTCTCATCTTAATAACATCTCAATGACATATTGTTTCTTAATAGCATCTATAAACCATGGCTAACCTGATAATTATATTATAAGGCAAAATTATTATTATTATTATTTTGCAAGTTGTAAGAGCACTGTAATTAATCTGCCAATGTGGAGCGAAGTGGCGATCCACCTTCCCTCCGCTCTCGGCCCAACTTGTACTTCCCATTCCCCCACTCTTGCTTGCCAAGTCCGGCGAGCCAGCACACCGTATTATTGTTTATTATTAGCATTATTTCCTATATATTGCCTCTCCCCTCGCCAGATCTACAAGGCCACCAGTCGGTCGACCAAATCACTGCATCTGCCACAATGTCGTCCTACGGATCCAACACCGGCGTCGACAAGAAAGAGGAGAACGGCAACGGGGAGGCGCCGCAGCCTCCGTCGCCGACCCAGATCGGGGGTGGGGTGGTTCCGCGCCCCGTGCCGGGAGACCAGCGTAAGGTGGCCCTGGTCACGGGCATCACCGGGCAGGATGGGTCGTACCTGACGGAGTTCCTGTTGGGGAAGGGGTACGAGGTGCACGGCCTCATCCGGCGGTCCTCCAACTTCAACACCGCCCGCCTGGAACATCTGTACGTCGACCCCCACAACGCCGCCAAGGCCCGCATGAAGCTCCACTACGCCGACCTCTCCGACGCCTCTTCCCTCCGCCGCTGGGTCGACGCCCTGCTCCCCGACGAGGTCTACAACCTCGCTGCCCAGTCCCACGTCGCCGTCTCTTTCGAGATCCCCGACTACACCGCCGACGTCGTCGGCACCGGCGCCCTCCGCCTGCTGGAGGCCGTCCGTTGCGCCCCCAAGCCCATCCGCTACTACCAGGCCGGTTCCTCCGAGATGTTCGGCTCCACGCCGCCGCCCCAGTCGGAGTCCTCCCCATTCCACCCCCGCTCCCCCTACGCCGCCGCCAAGGTCGCCGCCCACTGGTACACCGTCAACTACCGCGAGGCCTACGGCCTCTTCGCCTGCAACGGCATCCTCTTCAACCACGAGAGCCCCCGCCGCGGCGAGAACTTCGTCACCCGCAAGATCACCCGCGCCTTGGGCCGCATCCGCCTCGGTCTCCAGACCAAGGTCTACCTCGGCAACCTCTCGGCCGCCCGCGACTGGGGCTTCGCCGGCGACTACGTCGAGGCCATGTGGATGATGCTGCAGCAGGACGAGCCCGGGGACTACGTGGTGGCCACGGAGGAGTCCCACACCGTGGAGGAGTTCCTTCAGGCCGCCTTCGGCCACGTGGGCCTGGACTGGAAGGACCACGTCGTGATCGATCCCAAGTACTTCCGCCCCGCCGAGGTCGACAGCCTCAAGGGCGACTCCACCAAGGCTAGGAAGGCGCTCGGGTGGAAGCCCAAGGTCGGGTTCCAGGACCTGGTGAAGATGATGGTGGACCACGATCTGGAGATCGCCAAGAGGGAGAAGGTGCTGGTGGACGCCGGATACATCGACGCCCAGCAGCAGCCCTAGAAGGTGGGAGTCCTAAAACCTCCGCCCCCCTCGCTTCCTCCATCGTCCACATTACGATATAAATTTCTTAGTTTGCTTTAAGCTTCTGTTCTGCTGGTGCTTCCATCAAACACAAAACTTGTTTCTTTCTACGCCTTAAACGAGTCACAGAATATTGTTATCTGATCAGATTCCCAATAAGATAAAAAAATGGATCTCAAATCTGCACATCATTACCTCAATCTTCCAAGGCTGGAAATGTTACTACTTTTCAGCAATTATTTCTGATATGTTTGCAGCAGTCCATATTTTTCCTTGTGTGTTGGTTTCTTTTGGTCCTCAGAGTTGTGTTGCTCTTTTGATCCGCTTAATGTAAGTCGACATGAGGCATTACATTAGTTGATGTCTCTATCTTTCATCTCAAAATTATATTACTAGTTTTGAGGATAATATCACAATTTTGAACAACAATTATAAGTGTTCTCACCAGAAAACTGCATTCTTTGAGCCTAGCTGATTGTGTTCCATCAAGATACTCATTAAAGGAAGACAACAAAGCTGCACTAAAGATATAGATCGGCATTTCCTAAATATTTATGGCTGAAGCCAATTCGTAGTCTCCCCTCACGACACCAATGATCAATGATTCATTGGTGGAAAATATAATATTCTTATCCTAGTAAGAATATAACCACAATAGAGATAGTCTTGTCCTTGTAAGAATATAACCACGTAACTTTTCATAAAAGTCTAGTCTAACTATCAAATGCATTCTTATTCTTGTAAATCAAATGACAAACAGTTTATCAAATATCTTATCCTCGTAAGAATATAACCACATAACTCCTAAATATCATATGACCAACAGTTCATCAAATGTATTACAATTGATTCTATCCTTGTAAGAACATAACCACATAACTCCTAAATATCCTTGTAAGAATATAATCACATAATACATAAATATTAAATGACAAACAGTCCATCAAATCCATTACCATTAATCTTATCATTGTAAGAATATAATCACATAACTCATAAATATCAAATGACAAACAATCCATCAAATGCATTATCATTGATTCTATCTTCGTAAGAATATAATCACATAACTCCTAAATATCAAATGACAAACAGCCCATCAAATATGTTATCATTGATCCTATCCTCGTAAGCAAAATAAACTTTTCAACACAAAAGTCTAAAGACGGAGATTATAGAAACATATCCAGTACATGAAACTCTTGCCAATAGGACATCATAATAAAAAGATGAATATTATCCTGATTTATTCTTTTATCTAAGTAAAACTATTTTAGGATGGACAAAGCATACATTATCTTTCTCACTTAGGTAGAAGTATCCTTCCCAACTTTCAAGCTAAACTAAAAGGGCAAGAAGAGTAAATAAACAATAAAAAGCACAATATTCATAAGATGCTACTACTTCGAAGAAACCTTTTCATCAATCAGATCCACAAGGAGCTTATATAGCTTGCAAAATACATATTAAACTCTTTGATAATTTTCACCGATTCGTTACTCTAGTTCAAGCCACTTTGGAGAAGGATTGAAGTGCATCATTAGTGGGCACCAATTCCAATTCTCAAAGATAATAATTTGCATTGTCACCAAAAATTCAGAAAGAAATCAATGCACGAAGACCTTCAGTGTTCCTTGCTCCTACCACCTCTTTAGAACTATTATCTAAGGTTGTAAAATTTGATTTCAAACAATAAGAAATATTAATGGCAAAAACATCAAAAGTACTTCAATAAAATCCTAAAGATTTAGAAGAGAGATGATAATTTTGTATGGTTAGCTACAAAATAGGAGCAAAGCAGATCCAAACCGACGACTTGAGGCATGCATGCACGTCGAATACCCCCTCACTATGCATATTATTAGACATCAAAGAATCGGATAGACAACTTGATTCGGAGATTAGTATTAGTTATTGTAGCACTTGCCTCAGCTAGCGGCGGCGGCGGCGATGCGGCAGGTTCGGAGACCCTGGTGGGCTCTTCTCCGAGGGGCACCAACAGAGTCGTGAAGGGGTAGAGGGTAGCGTTGGCCGTCAGGTTGTTGGGATACATCAACAGGAACAATAACTCGGAATGAAACCGGCCGGCGATCGAGGAGAGATCGTCGCCCCAAGTGACTAGATACGTGAGCAGGTACTTGATGCCGCCGGCAACCTGGTCCTCGGTGGGGCACGCGCACCGGAGGGGGACCACAAGCCTGGCGCCGATGGAGATGTTTAAGGGGTCGTAGGGATTCTCGGCGATGAGAGCCCGGCAGGTGGAAAGTCCTTGGTACGTGTTGTTGGCGACGGTAAAGTAGGTGTCACCGGGCTTCACGGTGTAGGAGACGTTGTGCTGGTAGTATAAGCCAGAGCACGAGCAGGTGGTGGGCACGAGGACCAGCTCGCCCTGGGGAACGGCCGAGGCCGTGTCTTCGATGCCGTTGATGGCGGCGACGCTGGCGGCATCGGCGCCGAGCAGGTCTGCAATCTCTTGCGGGGTCTGGTAGGCGCCCTGGGATCGGAAGGTGAGGTAGGAGGCGCAGGAGTGATGCGTGCCGCCATGGCAGGAATAGCCCAAATTGGAGGAGTCATTGGCGCCGAAGCAGTTCAACAGCTCGTTGCCCGTGTACGACTGCTGCTGGGCATGGCAGAAGAAGATCAACCGCAAGAAGAAGAGAGGTAGCAGATCAAGGGAGGATTTCGAGCACCTCGGCCTCGTCCTAGCCATTCTTCTGTCAATGTCTGATGCTTGAAGCCTGGCTCGACAGTTGAAATCTTCATTTGCATCTAAATAAAAGTAGAGGGTTAAGATGATCCAACACGTTAACTTTCAACAAGCTCGTCTCTTTGACTGCGCTCGGTGTACGTTTCTCAGATGGAAACGTCGGAATGTATGAATGGATGCAGATCTCATCATTTGCTAAACGCATAGCAAGAAATCGTATACTGCATGATTAAGAGGAACAAAAAAAAGGGGCTAATTTCCAATCAACAACAGATGGAGAGAATGAAGAACATGAAACTATCTATATTCAATCTGATGCCTTGCATAATTCACTCTCTTGTCGTCATACTATAAAAATGACAGAAATGGTTTGACTGTTGGGGCGAAATAGGCGACTATGAACAGTGAATTCTTATATTCAACTTGATGCCAATTGCCAAAAGTTCAAGAGAAACGATGGGCAGATTACAAACCAACTGATGAAGGCTATGGCGATGGCAGTCTCAAAGCTTGTGCAGTGCTCATGTGAGCATATGCTGCCATTACCACGAAGCAGAATTGTAATGCCGGCAGATGCACAAGCAGCTGAAAATGTCAGTGTGGATATGATCTGCATGAGAAAATAATACATGACTAATCATAAAAAGTCAAAACAAAGGAGGAGCAAGTATTGTCCTCTGCCTGAATATTTACATGAAAACTCGTATGTAAATGATCTTGGGTTTCAATAAGAGACTTCAAACTTGCTGAAGTCTAAAGTTATAAATGATTTGTGCTCACAGATGAACTAATTCATGCATACCCGATTTCCAGATAAGAGATTCTCAAAAGTACAATTTTGTTTCTGTGACGCTGACAGTGAATTTATACGGTCAAATGTGTGACATGCACCCAGATACTTATCTACATGAAAAAAGTCAACCCTAATTAAAATGAAAACATAAAGCTAACATGCATCCAGAACCTGAGCAATTTCCTTACCCCATCCCCAATGGTAAATATACACAGAGCTCGGGGATTCCGCAAGCAGCGTTTGACTAGAAGAGCATATATATCCAGAAAAGCTAATGAGATACTCCACAAGCTCTGCGTGATGGCTGCTGCAATCAGATAGCTGCAGAATATGGAACAAATTACTTCAAGAGATTAAGAATTGCAGTTCGGCAGACATGCCCATGCTAACTATCTTCAAGCAGCATCATAATTAAGCAATCAAAAGAGAGTTCCAAAGAAGTTGCAGGTCATAATTTCTTTAACTATGAGTTGTAGATCACATGTAATGCATACTGCTATACCTGAGTTGTCTATCCAACAAGCATTCATCATTCAGTAGTCATGATTTTTTTCCAGACAACCACTAATTTGCAAATTAAGTGAAAAGAAAGACAGTAGAGTTGACAACAGGCATCATCAATCCTCATAAAAGCAGCTGCAAGTTCAGCAGTGCATCAATTTTGTGAGGTCAAGGACATAAGTAATCATGACACACATCGAAACCTCATATTAACTTGAAAGTGGCTGCTTTTGGAAATCTTTCCTGATCAAGCTTACGATCGATACGTAGCATACATACATGGATGACAGCAATCTGTATTATGAATGGAGTACTCTAAACAAGGCATCTTATAGAGAAAATTCTTGGGTTTCAAATTATGAATATAAAAGCAAACTTTACAATCATCAAAGACTCAAAAAAAAAAAAAGAGAGTCAAATAACATTATAGAGGTTAAAAAACTAATAAGGTAATTTGAAAACGGAACAACCGGTCGTTCATCATAACTCAGCAATACTAAGACTAACTTGGTCACCTGCAAATGGGCATCCTTACACTCATTACTGTTAACCTACATCTTTGTCCCAGCCTCATAGCTTCTGCTCTTAACAGGGTTACCATTTATCAGTCAGGCTAAATTATTGGAGACATGAACATTTAAGAAAAACAATGACAAGAAAATATTGCTGTGGTTCCTTAATTAGAAGGTTGCTAGGCATCATAAACCGGAAGAATATCTTTCCTAATGCCATATGAGGAGTTTTTGGGCTATCGAAACTATGAATAAATGGACAAGTTGAAATAAATACCAAAATACATCCATGCTACAAAGAATTGAAGAGGAAACACGGTTGAATAAACAAAGGAGTTACTTGGAGCATGATGATGCCTTGAACTTCCACTCTTTTTTTATGATCTTATAGTAGTGACAAAAGGAATTCTAGTACCATAAGAACTCAGCATGAGACTGACGAGACATACTCAAATTATACTTCTTCAGAGCAACCTATCGCAATTTGGGACTTCTTATCTATGACAAGGTGTTTCTTACTAGTCACGACAAAATCAGAGGCACACTGATGCTTCTGACTTTGTTGTTGAAGTGATCCTGCTGCGAGAGGGGCATCTCAGTGACATATAAGAGTTAAACAGAATAAAATATCTTCCTTGTTAAAAGTTGTTTACTTTCTTCATCTCTTAAACATATGCAATGAATTCAATCAATTAAACATCGCATCTCTTCTTGTCAGTTCTCTCTGTATAGGCCTGCCTGTACGTTGACAAAACCCATTTCTAGCTTTTGTTCACATAAAACATTGGAATTCAGCAGCACACCGTGTTTGATCCTAAGGTGTTATCATTTTCTTATTTTACATCATGCAACAAGAAAACATAATTTTAGGTCATATTTTCCTCAGTCAAGTACAAATCTATTAGTTGATTCCTTTTTAGACGGGCAGTACCAAAGATTACATAATTAAGGAAGAAAAGTATTCAGCAACAAATAAGAAGCGCACAATAACCAGGCAAGAAATAAACTCCCACATTGTCATAAAAAATACCCTGAATCGAAAAAGAAGTATAAATCCATGACGTCAAGTTACCAGAAGACAGTGACGAATCCGAAATTGCTGGTGGATTCCATGACGCCAAGCGCAGCGACCGCTAACCCAAACTGAGAGAGGCGCAGGGCGAGGCCGCCGGCCGTCCCCGGCATGCCCTGGATATCCTTCATCCTCAACCTCGGCGGGTTCTCGGCGGCATTTACGGGAGACGGCGCCTCCACGGGTTGCACCGCCGGCCTGCTCACGAACATCTCTCTCACGCCAACTACCAGATCAACAGCAGCCAAGCTAACAACAAAGCATCAAGGAAGAACTTCTCGGCAGAATCGGAGCTGCGAGGATCGGGATCGCTTAGGGGATTCGTTTCTGGTGAGGAGAACGTGATCGGGAGAGAGAAAAAGACCATCACCCACCGCGGATTCCCAAAACGGGATCGATCGCTTGTTGAGAGGGGAGAAAAGGAAGGAGAGTTTGGAAGACGACAAGACGAGGGAAACCCAAAACAAGGCAAGACGACTAATATATGATGGAAATTAGGGTCTATAATTAAAATTATAAATAGTTATGTAATTACGATAATACCGAAAGAGTGGGTATGGGTTTGCTTTCTTTGAAAAGAAAATGCTACATTAAGTAGAAGGGGTTAAAAACGGGGTATTGGAGACTTCTAACGATAACTAAAAATAATGATAAAGATATTTAGTCTCATATTGATTAAGGAATAAAGAAATCAATAACTTATAAATCTATCGAATTATTATTATCCTCAATAGTAATTATCTAAAGCGGATAATTTCTCGTGAGTCTATATGTACTAATGAGAGCTCTGAGTCTTTGGCTCCCTTACCGGAGAAAGCATTGATAATGACATATAATTTAGTAGGGGAGCTAAGAACTTATAAACCCTTTAAAATATTTTTTTTAGATTTTATGAGTTTTGAAATGATAAAAATGATGATTCGTCACGAGGTTACATGCCGATCCAAAAGATATATTGGGTGGACTTATATGTAATTGAGGAGTTGGAGGGTAGGTTGTGTCGAAGGAGTTTTTTGGAGCAAGACAAGTGCTCTTGAATGTTAAAGAGACAGTGACGAAGCTGAAATCGTTGGTGGATTTCATGACGGCAAGCGCAGCGACCGCTCATCTTGATTCGTCTTGTAGAATCAATAAAGCAGGTTGCCGCGATCAATACACGCTCCCACTTCTGGGGATTCCTCTTCACCACTCTCTCCTCGTTAGTTCTTGTTGCCTGAGAAGAGTAGTCATGGTCACCTCTCCTTCTCTCTTTTGGTTGCTCCTCCCCCGCCACAACTCGGCCAGCATGGAATACGAGAATAGGGTTAGTGATGAGGATAATAATAATGATGGGACACGAACTGACGTCACCTGCTCCCAGGTGACGTCTCCTAGGTCACGCAGATCGAGGAGTTGCGGGGGTTGCGTGTCTCGATCTGACCTAACAACGTCTGGTCGAAGCAGACCA